AGACAACTACAAATTAAACGTTAAGTTTTATTCCTGCTTGAAGACTTTGACATTAGAGTACATTCTAGACCATTTATTAATTTGTCAAGACAACATTTTTTAAAAGTGAAACTTCTTGAGTGTGAATTCGAATTTATTCTTAGCTACGAAACAATAACTAGTTGGAAGAAAATTTTCAGTTATATTAACTCTTTGAGTACAGGTAACTGTATGGAAAACTTACCTGAGTCAGTGATATGGGTTATATTATGGACACCCGCCACATTAATACATCTTAGTACACTTAACCTAAAATCCAGAGGCACTTGATTGATTGGTATGTATTGTATGCGAGTTGGTAAACTGCACCAAAGGAAGCCTGTTTGGTTAACATACACGTTACATATAAGAAAACTTGGAGATGATTTTCCAAAGGAAAATATCAGATTGTTCTGCAGCTTCCAGATCTGTTGAGTTCCAACTATATCTGATACAGTGATTACTTTTCACTTTGAAAAATTAATTATCTTCATGTTATATTCCCTACAAAATATCTGTTGTTAACTGCATTCGAGACAGAAGTATTCTGTGATCTTGTCAAGTGCTATGTGAGGTCTTCTAAAAGCCTATGGGAAAAATTGAATTAAAGGTAATGTGGCAGGCCCGGCGCCAAAGCCTGGTAAGTAAAATCCTCACCTTGAACGCACTGAGATATCCCATATGGGCGCCAGTTCTAATCCCGGCAGCCCCGTTTCCCTTCCAGCTCCCTGCTTGTGGCCTGGGAAAGCAGTCGAGGATGGCCCAAAGCCTTGGGACCCTGTACCTGTGTGGGAGACCCAGAAGAGGCTCCATGCTCCTGACATAGGATTGGCTCAGCTCCAGCATTGCGGCCGGTTAGGGAGTGAAGCATTGGACAGAAGATCTTCCTCTCTGCTCCTCCTCCTCTGTATATCTGACTGCAATAAAAAGGGGATGGGGAAGATAATGTGACGGGTCCGGTCCTGTAGCCTTGCAGTTAACATCCTCCTCTTGCACATGCCAGGATCCCATATGGGTGCCGCTTCTGATCCCAGCGGCCTCGCTTTCCATGCAGCTCCCTGCTGGTGATCTGGGAAAGCAGCTGAGGATGGCCTAAAACCTTGGAACCCTGCACCTGTAGATAAGCCAATGGTGGCATAGTTGGCTAATCCTCCACTTGCAAGTGCCATCATCTTAATGGGTGTCCTGGCTGCTCCGCTTTGCATCTGGCTGCCTGCTTACAGACCACCCTACACCACATGGGTGATCCAGAAGAGGCTCCAAGCTCCTGGCTGCAGATAGACTCAGCTCCCTTTAGGGAGTAAGTCAGCAGATGGAAGATCTTTCTGTCTCTCTCTATATATAAATCTGCACTTCTATAGACAGTGTGGTTCCTTTGAAAGGTTTTGAAAAGTTCGAAGATTGAAGTATTGCCCCCGGGAAAAGATGACCACACCCTCCAGAAGAGGAGAAAATGAAGGAAGAAGCACCACGATGAGAAGTGGCAAGGTGGCATGATCAGGGAGCAGGAATAAAGTCAGCCAGCCAGCCAACTGCCAGGCCTGAGTGTACTCCATCAGCAGTTCTTCATGTTCTGCCGGCTTACCGTGTTCCAGGAATGCAGTCAGTGAACTGCCAGAACATATTGTTAAATACAATTTGGCTGTGCTGAGTAATATTTCTTTGAAAATTAGAACGGAAATATTTTCCCCTAAGGTTTTTGAGATGATTACATAGCCATGTGCTAAGTCAAAATAGTATAATCACCAAATGCTCTTCAGTGTTTAGAATCAGAGCTCTTTTTTTATTTGGCAAGTCTGTCATTAGTTCACACTTTTATGAACTTGCCAGTCATACTTGCCAATACAGATGGTTGTTTCCAATCCTAATGTTTTGAAAATAGGCTAAAGAGTCTAGAGATAAACAGTTTCTTGACTATTTTTTTTTTCCCTCCATTTCATTTTCTTTGGAAGATAGAGTGGCCAAGACTGATTTTCTATCTACTGCTTCACTGCCCAAAATGTTGCCATTCAGATCTGGACCCAGCCAGAAGCAGCAGCTGGGGACGCAGCCCCAGTCTCCCTGGTCTGGGGCAGAGACCCAAGCACTTGAGTCATCGCTTGTCACCTTTCCAGGTCGTGCACTGGCAGAGCTGAGAACGGAAGCCAACACCTGCGGCTCGGATGTGGGCTGTGGGCATCCCAGATGGCATCTGTCTTAACTGCTGTGCCAAACTTCCATTCCAACTGTTGCTTTTGTTCTTTTTTTTCCCCCTGTGTTCCTCTGATATAATCAAACGTTATTGGGGATGTTGCTTGATTTCCCCAGTCACAGAATTTAATTTATAGAATATTTGAAATTATAGAGACCCTACCCTCCAATTTGGGGTTACATTTTATTCCACTTCAGAATACTTAAATTCCACCGATGCTGTCATTGCTGTTGTCATGACGTTCCTTGTTTTACATTGAAACTTCTAGTTTGTCTGTCTTCATAGAAAAGATATTGTGTTACAGAAATGTACCGGCTATGGTTTGATTCGGCATGTTGTGACTGTTTCCATCTGTTCCCATGGTCACTGGTTAGGCCCCTGTTAACAGCCAAAACCGTGAAGCAGATCGAGAGTAAGTCTGCTTTTCAGGAAGTCTTGGACTCTGCAACAGATAAACTTGTTGTGGTTGACTTCTCAGCCACACGGTTCGGACCTTGCACGATAATCAAGCCTTTTTTTTTTTTTTTTTTTTTTTAATCAAGCCATTCTTTCATTCCCTCTCTGAAAAATATTCCAGCGTGCTGCTTCTTGAAGTAGATGTGGATGACTGCCAGGATGTTGCTACAGATTGTGAAGTCAAATGCATGCCAACCTTCCAGTTTTTTAAGAAGGGCCAGAAGGTGGGGTGAATTTTCTGGAGCAAATAAGGAAAAACTTGAAGCTACCCTTAATGAACTACTATAATGCTGTTTTCTGAAAACATGACCAGTCTTCAGTTGCTGAAAACCTGTAATTATTATTATTTTTTTTTTACAAAAACATAGGAGATAGGGAACTATATATACAACTGCCATCTGATCATAAAGAACAATAGAAAATCAATTCTACACTTAAAAAAAGAAAAGAAAACAGAATATACTGGCTTGTCGGTTCTAATCCTGGCGGCCCCACTTCCCATCCATCCAGCGCCCTGCTGGTGGCTGGGGAAGCAGTCGAGGACGAACCAAACCTTGAGACCCTGCACCTGCATGGGAGACTTGGAGGAAGCCCCTGGCTCCTGGCTTCAGATTCGCTCGGCTCCAGCCATTGCGGCCGGTTAAGGAGTGAACCATCAGACAGAAGATCTTCTTCTCTGTCTCCTTCTCTCTGTATATCCGTCTTTCCAATAAAAATGAATAAATCTTAAAAAAAAAAAAAAGAAATGTACTGACTTGTTTTCAAATGATCGAGATACAAGGCAATGTGTGTAAAATGCCATTTTTAAAATTCTGTCTTCTTGGGCCCGGCGCGGTGGCGCAAGTGGTTAAAGGTCCTCGCCTCGCACGCCCGGGATCCCATATGGGCGCCGGTTCTAATCCCGGCAGCCCCGCTTCCCTTCCAGCTCCCTGCCTGTGGCCTGGGAAGGCAGTCGAGGACGGCCCAGGGCTTTGGGAACCTGTACCCGCGTGGGAGACCCGGAAGAGGCTCCTGGCTTCGGATCGGCATAGTATCGGCCTGTTGCGCTCGCTTGGGGAGTGAATCATCGGACAGAGGATCTTCCTCTCTGTCTCTCCTCTCTGTATATCCGCCTTTCCAATGAAAAAATAATAAAAATAAATCTTTAAAAAAAAAAAAAATTCTGTCTTCTTTACGAACTACTTAGTCTGATCATGAAGTTTACGAGTTGTGAAGATGAATTGACAAGGCTGCATTGACAACGCTACCTGGTGGTGATTGTTTTTTAAATAAATTGTTACAGAGACAGGCTTTAGTCTAGTGGCTCACACACCTACATTCCATCCCAGAGGACCTGTGTTCATCACATCTCAGCCTTTTGGCTAAGGTCAAGTGCACAGTACTTGTCTTCAGTTCCTGGCTGTGGCTGAACTCCAGCTTTCTGCTAAGGAAACCCCTAAGAGGCAACAGTGGAGTCAGCACCGTGGCGTAAGCATAACAGGTAGAGCCAGCCCCTGTGACAGGAACATCCCATAAGAGTACTGGTTCAGGGCCCAGCTTAGTAGCCTCGCAGCTAAATCCTCGCCTTGCACACACGGGGGTCCCATATGGGCACCAGCTCTAATCCCGGAGGCCCTGCTTCCCATCCAGGCTCCTTGCTTTGGATCAACTCAGCTCCAGTCATTGAGGTCACTTGGGGAGTGGATCAACAGATAGAAGATCTTCCTCTCTGTCTCTCCTAAGTCAAAAAAAAGAAGAAAGAAAAGTACTTCTTGAAGTATTGTGGGCGTTTGGGGAGTGAGCCAGCAGAGGGAGGGTGACATGATCTCTGTCCCTCAAATAAATATTGTTTTAAATATTAACCTCGATTTACATATATGTGTTTGTTTTAAAAACGGGATGGGGCAGGCAGAGCTTCCATCCATTGGTTCATTCCCCAGAGCCCTAGTAACCAGGGCTAGGCTCGAGCAAGGTAAGGTAGTAGTATCAAAAACCAACATGTAGATTTGTGACTGTCTTTAATTTCTTCAGCCTTCTATACAATCAAATTGAAACTGAATGACATTTGAGCATATATTACAATAGAGAGATGAGACTTGGATTTTTCTGAAAATTAGCTGTGGAAAGAAACTCAGACTCAAAACCAAGTGGCACTCTGACGTTTTTCATGTGTTAGAGGAGTTTATTGAAATGGGAACGGCGTCTTGGGACTGTCTTGCAACGCTTCTAATACTCTGTCTGTCTTATGTAGTAATTGTAACTTCTTTTCCCCATCTCATATCTAATTGAGTCTTAAAATATAAACTACACAGAGTAGACGACAAACAATTAATTACTTTTCTCTCTCTTTGCTTAGACACATCCAGAAAGTACCCCGAAGAAACATCCTACTGGAAAAACTGAAAAAGCACCATTTATAACCCTGGACTCTGTGGATAATTTCTCAAAATGGCAGAAAGTGGTGAAAGTAATAGTCAAAATGTAGATGTAAGGCCCAAAACTAGCCGAAGTAGAAGTGTGGACAGAAAAGATGGTTATGTGTGGAGTGGAAAAAAGTTATCTTGGTCCAAAAAGGGTGAGACCTGTTCAGATGCTGCAACAGTGAGCGCTGTGGAGAAAGCTGACGTTCCTCTGAGGAGCCGAGAACGGAAGCACAGCTGCGCGTCCATCGAGCTGGACTTGGACCATTCCTGTGGGCACAGGTTTTTGGGCCGATCTCTGAAGCAGAAACTACAGGACGCTGTCGGTCAGTGTTTTCCAATAAAGAATTGCAGTGGTCGGCACTCTTCAGGGCTTCCATCTAAAAGAAAAATCCATATCAGTGAACTTATGTTAGATAAGTGTCCTTTCCCACCTCGATCAGATTTAGCCTTTAGGTGGCATTTTATTAAACGACACACTACCCCCTTAAATCCCAAATCAGATGAATGGGTAAGCACAGATTTGTCTGCAAGTGAACCGCGGGAGGGTCACGTAAAACAAAGAAGGAACATGGAAGAGGTAGACTGCTTCTCACGTGCCAGTGTCCCGCCCTGTGTCATAACTACCAGTGGTGCTTTGTGTGCAGTTGGTCCTGTGACTGACTCAGCGATGAACCTGGCTTCAAGCCAGAGTATAGAAGATAGCGATATGGATTCTGATGATGAATTTGTAACACTTTGCACAAGTTCCAGAAAAAGAAACAAACCCAAATGGGAAATGGATGATGAGATGCAGCAAATGGAAACCCCTCCTAAGTACCACACACAGATTGATTATGTCCACTGCCTTGTCCCGGACCTCCTTCAGATTAACAATAATCCATGTTACTGGGGAGTTATGGACAAATATGCAGCCGAAGCTCTACTAGAAGGAAAACCAGAAGGCACCTTTTTACTTCGAGATTCAGCACAGGAAGATTATTTATTCTCTGTCAGCTTTAGACGCTACAGCCGTTCTCTCCATGCTAGAATTGAACAGTGGAATCACAACTTCAGCTTCGATGCCCATGACCCCTGTGTCTTTCATTCCCCTGACATCACTGGCCTCCTAGAACATTACAAAGATCCCAGTGCCTGTATGTTTTTCGAACCACTTTTGTCCACTCCTTTAATGCGGACATTCCCCTTTTCCCTGCAGCATATATGCAGAACAGTTATTTGTAATTGTACAACTTACGATGGCATTGATGCCCTCCCAGTTCCCTCTCCTATGAAATTGTATCTGAAGGAATATCACTATAAATCAAAAGTTAGAGTTCTCAGGATTGATGCACCGCAACAGCAGTGCTAGGAAAAGGCCAGGAACATGGAAAGAACTGGATGGAGATTTTTGACTAGTTTTGTTTTGGTTTGGTTTGGTTTGTTTTTCCTTAGGCCAATTTGAATTTTTTTCCAAGTCAGTTGACATCCACAGTGGTCCCCTGGTCAGATTCTTCCTCCAGGTTAGTTGGTTTTTCATGTGATGCGCTGACTGCTTAAGGCTGTGCCTTAGAGGGTAGCTGGTTTTTTGATCAGATGCTTCTGGTTTTTGTTTGTATGGATTGTATACCTACACATTTTTTTCTTTATTTAACTTATGTATATGATACAGGCATATTTGGTAGGCCTTGCAAGCCACGTTTGAAAATGCTGTATCACATCCTGTTAAAATCATTATATTTGTTTCTACATGTAAAATATTCTGTTAATTTATGCTGCCAGTGGTTTTTTTTTTCTCTTTTTTATTACACTGCATTATGTGACAGTTTTTTAGGCACTGGGATTTGCCAGTGTTCTTAAACATAACATATAGTTCCCCATCCTCCTCTTTGCGTTGTCTTAAAATTCTTCAGTAACATGAGTATTGTTATTCACCACTCATACTAACAGAATTGACATTTGTAACTTACTAACGGGATGTTAAAGGTAGCAAAATGACTTAAAATTTATGTTTTTCATGTTATATGTTAACCACAAAGCAGGATTTCTGAATAAGATGAACCCAGTCGGTAAGGCTCAAGTGAGAACATTACATTCCAGAAGTGCGTTCATCCTGTAATGCAGCAGGACTGTCACTGCTGATAACATGTCAGCCTGAAAGAGCTAAACCACCTTGACAACGTGAATTTTATTCCTTTCTGCAGAAGCTTCAAAAATAATAATATGTTTGCAGCTAGTAGTTACAAAGTACTAAAGCAGCTGTAAGGTTTTTCTGTATTATGAACTTGCTTCTACTTAACCCTTTTATAAAAACTTTGAGCCTGTTCACTTTAAGGGAATTCCACAGTTCATAAATGGCCGCAAGTTTCTAATAGTAACCAAAGAGTACCTGCAGAGATTTTTGTTCCTTTAAATTTAACCTGAATGCAAGAGGTAAGCAGGGAGCTCAAAATTGAGAAAGCTTAATGCTTTTTTTTTTTTTAAGATTTATTTTTATTATTTTTTTTTTATTGGAAAGGCGGATATACAGACAGGAGAGACAGAGGAAGATCTTCCGTCCGATGATTCACTCCCCAAGTGAGTACAACGGGCCGATACTATGCCGATCCGAAGCCAGGAGCCTCTTCCAGGTCTCCCATGCAGGTGCAGGTTCCCAAAGCTTTGGGCCGTCCTCGACTGCTTTCCTGGGCCACAGGCAGGGAGCTGGAAGGGAAGCGGGGCTGCCAGGATTAGAACCGGCGCCCATATGGGATCCCGGGCGTGCAAGGCGAGGACTTTAACCACTTGCGCCACCACGCCGGGCCCAGCTTAATGCTTTTGATCTTCAAGTTCCAAACTATTATTCTCTTTAGGGTTTATGTTTTTAATGTGGCTTCAAACTAAACCTCTCTGACTGCCACGTGGCTTATGTCACACTAAGTAGTAAGACAAAAGGATAATACTTAAAATTAGTAAGAACAGGGCAGCATTTTAAAAACCTGAGCCCAAGGTAACTAACAAATTACCTGGAGTGGTATGCTAACTTCTTAAGGCGTCAGTCGCTGATAAAATCTGTACAGATTGCCCAGTTTTCCTTCTGATGAGGTATCTACCCTTTATACAAATTGGCATTTTTAACATAAAAAATTGACTTTTTGATGTTAGTTTGGTTGTATTATTAAACTGCGTCTACCTAGATTTGAAGCTCTCAAGTGAGACCGAGTGTTTCTTGTGTTTATGTTGAAATAGCTTTACCCTTCCTTGCATTTCTGCTGATCACATCAGTATGGCATTTTTCAATAATAGCTTTCAAATACTTAGCAGTTACTGCAAAATGAAACCAGGAGTGTCTGTTTCCGTTATCTTACAGGTTTGGGTTTGTCTTCTCAGTGATCTCAGGTTTCCTGTTCTCAGTGAGGGGGTAGCACTCAGGGCCCTTCCCTGAGCAGCTGTGAGGCCCCGGTACCCTCACCCCGTTGGGGGTCAGTCTCTATGTTAAAGATACCTACCTTTGAGAAAGGAGAGGGTCTCCTACTGCCTCTTCTCTGTTGTAGCACTTTTGCAGATCACTAAGCAACTTACCTTGGCCAATTCAGCATTTCCTTAAATAACCCACCTTTGGCAACAGAAAAGTAACAGTATGATACAATTCCACCCTAATTATAGTTTTTATCAGACTTTGATAAAAAAGACTTTCTGTTTCTGTGAAACAATTATTTTAAATATCCTTCTTTTTAAAATAACTTTATCAGTACAGAAAACCTAAAAAATGACTAGCTTCTGAATATCCTGTTAAACAGTAGTTTTATAACAAAAAATGAGATATAATTATGTTGTCTTTTATAGCAGTAAAACTTAGTGTTTATATTAAAGTCAAACTCGCTTTTCATATCATTCCAACTGATTGCTTGTGATATATTTTCTCTGGCTTTTCATTTTTTTTTTTCAACTTCAAGGTATTAACAGCTTAACGTTTTCAAAATACTGCCGTATAGGTGGCCTTGAAGTATCTACTAAGTGAAAATAGAGAAAAGACACTCGCTCTGACATGGTTGGTGTTTTTCTTCGGTACTTGCCGCAATGAAAAGAAATTTGAAAGTAGAAATATAAAGACGTGAGAAGGGGCTTGTTTACCATGAAGGGAAAGGAGTAGGGAAAGATTAATTTTCAAACCATTAAGCAATTGGAATTTAGAATGGTAATCACTTTGTGAAGATCCATTTGGAGGAGCATCTAGTATTCGAAAACTAACTCCTAAAAATGCTTAAAACTGCATTTATTGAATTATAGAAAAAGAGCAGATCTTCAAAGGAACAGTACATGGTGATACGTGGATATCCATCTAAACATGTTTTGTGACTGTGTTAAACCCTGGGAACGTGGGAAAATGGGAATTGCAGTGTTAAAAGGCGTTCAGTGTGGTGGAAATATGGAGAGCATATTGGTGAGAAAATGGAGCTAACAGAAATATAAAAAAAATATTAAAATTAACAGTTTGCACATTAGCTCAGGGAAAAGCCTTGAGTGAAAAGGAGCTGCTTAATTGCTAATAGCTAGTCTGGACCAGACACTTAACTGCACTTTGGGGATCACTGCATGCTAATCAGGGTATAAACTTGAACTTTTCCTTGAAGTTTCACAGGACATACCCCCGCCTTAAAAATGAAAAAGTAAATAAACTACAGCATCTTGGTTCGTATTATAAAAACTGAAGTGTATAAATATTCATGTGAGTTTTCCCCCCATAATCATGCCATTCATTTATAATTCATAATTGGAATGGTTTAATTTAAAGGCAGACCTAATAGGAAGACACTTAAAGGAAGCTCTTAGTCAGCTTGTGGCTAGATTTATCAATTTGATGATCAACCTGTGTTCTTTGCTGGATTTCCGTTAATGGCCAGCTCTGGCCAAACATGGCTTTCAGTTAGTTTTGGCTTTTTATTATGAATAATAGAAAGAATGACTTAGTAATTAGAAGCTCCTCTTCAAAAGTAAGACAAATGTGGCAAAAAAAGAAGTCATATCGTTACACAACTTTCATTTCTTTTGACACAAGAAAAAATAAATCCTTATCAGTTATTCATGAGCCAAAGCCATTAAGGAAATAAATCAAGTTACCAACTTTCTATCTCTGAAGTTGAAATCATTTTATAGATCCATGTGATCAAAAACTTCCTTCCCGTGAAACAAAAGGATAACATTCTTACAGTCTTTGTTTTTCATTCAAAATACTCACATGTGGTTGTAATCAAAATCCAGTAAATGGGTTATGCATTGATTCTGGTAGAGAAAATTTCACGTGAAAGTAGAATGAGTTATAAGACATTCTGGAAACACAACAAGGAAAACGGTGTTTAAATGTGAAATAGCCTGGGTAATGCATGCTAAGTTAATTCCCAACTAGGGCAAATTGCTATTTCTGCTTTGGGAAAAATTGAGAATTTTTGTTTAAACACAGTTTTACATTAATTTTCGTTTGTAAGGCAAGGACAGAAAGCACAAAGGGTTTTCTTTATTAATGCCCTGTTGGAAATGAACCTATTGTGCTGATGCAGTAAGATTAGATACACAAAATGGAAGTGACTCTAAACTGACTTTTTAAGTAGAAATATAGGTGGTGGGTATAACCCAGTAGAAAGGCATTTGGGACACATGTGTTCTATTTCAAAAAAGTACATGTCGTTTTTTATTTACTTTATGTTTTTTAGATTACTCAATCTTGATGTCTTTATATCCCAAAAATCTAGGTAACTATACTAGTCCTTTTAATTCTGAAGGATAATTATTTCGTGAGAAGTGACCCTTGGAGCATACTTGAAAGTAATTGCTATACAGCTCTAAAATACTGGTGTGGTCATAGATTTTCATAATATTTCTGTGGTGGAATCCGCAGAATTATTCTCTTGTTACTCTGTAAGAGACTTTCTGGGCAGGATTTGACAGTAGAGAAATGGATACAATTTGCACTGATGTCATAGCATCTGCAGTTAGAACAACTGCTGTTTTTCCTAGACATTGTAAGATCTATGTAAAGTTGCTATCTTAAAAGTTGACTGCATTTTTGCAAGGAATACGATATGCCCGTTGCTGTGGTTATAATCAGATCTGGTTTTCGGACTTGAGAGCCATGGTACAAAACCCAACAAGAATTTTTCACATTATACTGAGTGCTAAGAATTGAATAATTCTCAGCCAAGTGTGGATGATACGTGCTTGTACTTGCGTATACAGAGTTTCAGTATCAGCCTCACCAAGCTTGTCAATCAGGCTGTTACACCCTCTCCTGCCCCCAAAACAAGTAGACTTTCCAGTTTATTTTTAATCCTCAGGTTGAATGTTTCTTACTGGATGTGAATTCAAATTTGTTGATCTGAGTGAATTTTCATTTCTGAATTAAAACTGCAAAATCCAAAGGCTTTGTGTCCTGTATTTAAAGAAACATTGTGTCTGCTTACTTCACACATTAAACCTAGGGTCCAGGAAAGAAAAATTTTAAAATATGTTTTACACAATTTCTGATAGTGTACTGTTTGTTGCATTGGTTTCGGTCTTCCAAAAGCTACGTCAACATAGGGTGGAATACGAGGGAACAACGTGAAGGCTAAAGGGGAAGGCAGGGCTGTCCATGGCGTCCTGCAGGCACCGGTGGAGAGCTGGAAGTGGCTGAGTCTGGAGCGCTTCAGACTGCAGTGTCTCCTGGGAAAGTGCAGGTGCGACTGATCCTGTAAGGGGGGCAGTTAGGCAAGTGTTGACAGGGCCACATTGGCCTGACCTAGGACACCGTCAGTACCGTTACTGGCCTCTTGCAGGCAGGGAATGCTGGGCACTGGTGGTCAGTTTGGCAGAGCCAGGGCTGGGATGCGGAAGTCACTACCTTTTGGGGCATGGTTTTTTTATTTTACGTGAAAGCAGGAAGAGCTTTGATCTGCTGAGTCATTCCCTGAATGTCTGCATCAGCTCTGTCAGGGCAAGACCAGAACCAAGAACTCCATCCTGGTCTCCCACATGGGTAGAAGGAGGACAAGCACCTGAGCCATCCTGGCTTCCTTGGCACATGCATTACAGGAAGCTGGAGAAAAAATGGAATGCCAGGGCAGGGTCATGAGCAGTGGCATAACCTGTGCCACAACAACGACCCTGAGGGTGCACCCTTTTTGACAAAAAGTCTTAAAGTTTTAGCAATATTCTAAAGCCAGAATTAATGACTAAAGTTCACAATGAACAAAGTAAAATTCAAGATTGGGGCTCATCACGAACTTCCCTGTTGCCTCGGGTCTTGTGGCCCCAGAAAACACTGCCTGAGGGCAT